AAATAAATGTTTCTTAACCCATGTAAGTTTATTTTGTGAAAGTGGTGGTATTATCACTGATTACTTTTTATTTTAGTTTATCTCTAAATTCTTCATATTTGTACCTTTAAGCTTTCCTATCATTTAATTAAATGTAACTCTTCTAAACAAGTTATAAAAATTTTATTAAGCTGAAGTTATAGACACATTTTTACACTTTTATTGCAAGAGTAATTTTGGGGGGAAGAATAATAAAGGATAATGGATCAGTAATCTCCTCCAGTTGTTACTATTTTGATGTAAATTGATGTGCTGTTTTGATGTGTATATATATAGATAGATGTTCAAATATAGAGATAAATATATTAATCTATATTAATTTTAAAAACAGAATTGGTATTTTGAATATGAACTAGTTGTTGTTAGTACTATTAATAAAATCTGAAAATTTTACATCATTTAACATACTTTATGAATTTTTTTATGATACAAGGTATAATAAGTTCCTTTGACTATATTTTGTTCATGTTTTGTATTACTAAACACAGCTACAGTGAATAACTTTGTCATTAAGTCTTTGGTACATCAATCATTATTTCTTTAACGTGAATTAATAGAGAAATTCAAGACAGAAGAGATATATGAAATATAAGTATTTTGGTTGAAAAAAATGTAAACTTTAATGTCTTTAATTTGTTTTACTTCTTTTTTGTTATAAATTTTGCTATTCTAATCTCATTTCTATTACTTCTTTCCTTTAAAGAAATTCTTAAAACAATTTTTAATGATAAATATTAGGTATACAACTTTTATTTCACTATCTTCATAATTCTGAATGGAAAGGAGATAAACTTCATTTGAGTATTTTAATGTGTTAGGAATGGTCCTAATATCCCAACTTAATTCTTGTACTCTGCAGTTTTTACATGGTGCAGTAGTGGATATTAGATGGCAATAACCTGGTCCAGGCCCAGAAAAAATGGCCTCGGGCTGGGTGAGACCTTAACTGAATGTCAACCACGTGGCTGGAAAGGGACCTGTGGGGACCAGAGATGGCAAAGAGGACCAGGAAGCCTCAAGCCAGGCACACAGCTTGGGTTGGACATAGAGCAACCAGGCTGTGTGGGGCAGGACAACCCGCTGTCATCAAAGTCCTGGCATAGGCAGCACAGTAGGACAACTCAGGAAGTTGCTGAGTTCATGTCTTCTGATGCAGGGGCATCTCGTGCTGGCTCATTTGGGCCCAAACTGAAGGCCTTCCGTGAGCTAGGGGAATCCATCACACAATCAGTGCCACCAGGCCAGGTAGTTAGTACTTGATTTTGCTTCTGGATACTCAAGTTACACTATAGGTCTCGAAGAACACAGTTAAGTTAGACATTTATCTGATACATTTCAGTCCTTTGTCGCCTTTTTGGATTATCTGGAGCTATTTTTCTGAGATGTTTGTTCATTTAAACAAAAAGTTTAAAAAACATTGTTTCATTTTCTTCCCATACTCCATACTCTAATTTTTATGAGGGAAACTTTTCACTTACTGAAAGGTTTTCCTAAGTTTTCAATAGATTTGTCTCAAAATCTGGAAACCACGGTGACAGGTGCTATAGAAATTCTTAGAAACACATCAAAATGATTAAAATGGTCTTTACACATCTCAAATCTATTAATGTTTCTTTATGAAAAGCAAATGATCTATTTAAAATATTAAATATGATTATTGCAATAAGTAGGACAGATTGAAAAAAACACATTTTTAAGAAGACCTGCTCCTTGTATTGAAACAAATCTAATTGTCTAAATATCTTTCCTCTAACAAGTTGCAGTGCTTAAATTAAAATGTCAGCTAAATCTGTTATTAAATATATCATTCCCTTAATTCTCACCTCTCATTCTACTTCTGGATTTTATTTCCTTTATTAAAATGTATAATTAAAAATTTCCTGGGAATTGCAAATCTAATCTCAGCAATAAATTAAATTAATATAATTTCATTGCCTTAAAATATACAGACTTATTCTGATTTTCTAATATATTATCATTGATATCGATTTGTGTTTCTTAGTATTTGGCAGGTTTTAAAGGGCGGTCACATGTCTTTTCTGACTTGACCTTTTAAACAGATAAACAAGATAGATATTAAACATTTAAAAGAGAAGAAAATGGAGATGGAATAGCTTACCTGATTACTTCTAGTGTACGAAACACTAATTGTCCTTTGTATCTTCCTCATTCTCACCTTTATCTATTCTTTTATGTCTATCACCTTCTCATTTTCCAAACTGATAATTTATTAATATTAATAACAATTTACTTCAATAAGGAACTCCAACTTGTCTCAATAAGTTTAATCCTTGCTAAAAGATAATTTTCAACATTTATTAAATATTTTAGACCAATGGAGTACTTTTTAATGGTTATAACTTTTTAAAGATCATAGCAAGCTATCTGCTATCTCTCTTCCTAGGAATTAAACAAATTCTGTATATCAGGTTTTCTTTTACTCTACCATTGAATTTGGAGTTATAGGATTATTCTACCTGCTCTAACTAATAAACTAAGTTTTTTTTTTAATTTTTCACTTCTGTATGCATCTACTTGATTAGTGAGGAGTTCTTCTCCTCCATGGAATCACTTAGGGAACTCAGGCTATTTCCATCTTTGGAATCCACCATTCTCTGTTGCCTGAGTTCTCTACCTTAGGTCCATCTGTTTATTAAAGGCTTTAGCATGGAGATGACACAATCTCTGCTCATATTCCTCTAGTGAGAATGAGTCACACTGGCAACACAGAATCCAAAGCACTAAGAAAGTGGATCTCTGACTGAGCAAATGCCTCCTAACCTCAATACTATCCTCTGAAAACCAGAATGAATTTGTTTTTCATAGTTGTTCATCAATATACCAGAAGATTACTACTGTTAATGCCCCATTGGTAACATGTGGAATGCTCTTTTATAATAAGGCAATAAAATGGAAGTCTCAGGATTTTCTAGATGTTTTCACAAGCATGAGCACATAACTATACAAGGGACCAAGCCATGTTTACTCTCCCTCACTCTTCTGGTTGGTTGTTTTAGGATGCTGTTTGGCCACTCACCCTCTGGTCACCTGGAAGACAAACTAAAAGTAACTTTTCATGGGGTCTATCTACTAAAAGGTTGTCCCAACTAGCATGTTCTAAAAGTTTAAGATAGACTCTCTTCTGTCTTAAGTGAAAGCCTTCTAGCATCTGTATCTTCGAATGGAGAAAAGTCCAACCTCACTATTTCCTAGTCAATAGCTAGTGCCAAGTGGGGTTGGGATATTCATGTTTTAAATAACAGTCCTCAACATCTGACAGAGCGTGAAAGAAAGATCCAGTAGTGTTTTAAAGGGTCTTTGCAACTAGGGAAGCATTGTTAAATTAAGAAGTTCCCCATGTTGATCTGTCAAAAAAAGATACAACATTGTAAGTGGAAGGACTCAAACGTTATTTCCTATTGAGATTAAAACCTATTTTTCAGATTCTACTACCTTTTTGATATCTATTTTTAGGAATCTGTATAGTTTCTAATTGAAATTTTTATGCTATAATTAAGCTATTTTCTCTTGTAATCTCTTGCACAGTGGAGAGAATATTTCCTTATATATGATTTTTGGCCTGTTGAAATTTATTTTACCATTGGTCATAAGTTTTAATTCTGTTATGGATGAATTTAAAGCCTCACCAGAAGCACTTAGTTTTACTGTCAATCTTCGATACTTATTTTACCTGTAACCGACATTTCAAAATTAAGCACTCAAATATTCTGTACTTTATATGGTTGTCAACATATAAAGAATAATAACTTTTTAATCAACAGTGTATGTGCTTTTGAAAACCAACAGAAATACAAGAAGCTAACAAGAGAACAAGTAAGAATACCAGATAGATTGGAGTGCTGGGAAGCTACTCATTCCCTTCATGTGGACCTTAAAGGAATAATGCACATAATTGAGAAGAAAACAAATTAAATTAAGATTTTAATCTACAGTATGTTCCCACAGATTCTAATTTTTATACTCACATAATTAACTGTGCCAGTCATTAACTATACTGAATCCTTTTAAGTCTTGTTACTTAACCATAGCCTCATGCTGTTAATTATGGAAAATGTAAGGCAAGGATTTTTTTTTTAGAAATATAATTCATTCAGGTGCCTTAAAGCACTTAATATACAGGGTACAAAATTAGCTACACTTGTCAGATAGTTTTCAAGGAAGATATTAAAAATTAGCATGTGGACAATCCTCTCACTTAGATTTGAGCCACGTCTTAAAGAGTGTGATTCATTGAAATCATGGTGGGCTCCATAACACAAAAAGGATTCACAGAGGGAAGAAAATGTTAATCTACTCTGCCTTGTTAGTGAAAGTTTAGAAAATAAAGTGACAAGAACTGAGCAACTGTGGAGATAATGGAGCTCACCTACTGAGATAGATGGTGTGCAAGATAATTTTTGTAAGTATGTTTTTAACAAGGAAAATTGATGCCATTCCACAAGGATGAAAGGATTCCTGGGAGAGGATTTTTTTGTTGTTGTTTGGAGAGCATTAACTTCTGAAATCAGAGTTTCATGCAATGAATTAGAAAACAGAACATCTGATTTCTATACCAAATTTGTAACCTTTTATTCTGCGTATCGTTGCTTTGAGAATTGAAGAAGGTAATATGTTTGAAGGTTACTAGTGCATTTTCTAAGTTCAGGAACCCTTAATTATGTGTAATCTCTTTTTGGAAGCTTTGGTGGATTGTATCTCCTGATGGTGACACTGTGCTCCCTATTCAGCTACCCATAAGTTCCTGTGGATTTAGTGATATCAGGCAGGATTATCAGCATACCATGAAGGAGATAAAACATTCCTATTGACCAATAATGTTATATTTGCATTTCTTGATGAAATTGATCTATTATGTTTAGATTTATGGCACATTATAATTTTTTTTCATATAAGTCTATTTTCTTTGCAGTTAGTAATTGCTCTGTTTTTTACTTTCTTAGGTCTTTATTCAGCTGGCACTTTTCAAGAGAAAATACTGTAAGGCTTCTTTCAGTAAGGTAAGACACAGTGTCTAAAGCATCAGTGACTTTTTCTCCTTTGTTCTTTGGAGAAGACCTTCCTGGATCATTCTGCCTCACAGCAGTCTGGACTTGTTAGTCTCTACTTTTGAAACCCAGAGGTATGGTAATTTTCTCTCACCATTGTTTGGGGGAATTTTTTGCCCGTCACCCAACTGTACTCCCTGTCTCCAGGGTCTGCTGTTGTATAGGTTAATCTTAATGGTTAACTTGACTGGATTGAGATTCCTGGAGTGGTAAATGAATTGTGAGGCAGTAATCTCATCACTGGTTTAATCCATTGATAAGTTCATAGCTAATGAGCTATTAAGGAGTTGGACTCTAGTTGGAGGAAGTAAGTCATGGAGGCATAATCTGGAGGACTGTATCTGGTTCTTGGCCCCTTCTTCTCTTCCCTTTTTTTCTCTGCTTTCTGGCTTCCATTAAATGAGCAGATTTGTTCTATGATGCCCTTTTGATATGATGTTTCTGCCTTGGAGCTAGAGGACCATGGACTAAAACCTCTGAATCTGTGAGCCAAAATAAGCCTCTCCTCCTTTAAATTGTGGATGTCAGTTTATTTTTTTCCAGCATGCAAATGTGACTAATACAGCTGTATTTCTTTGTTGTTGTTGATGTTGGTTATGTCTTCATTTAGAGGAGGACAGTTTTCATTTTTCAACAAATGGATGCTTGTTAAATAAAGCTTTTGAATTCTAGAATATCTAAAACTGTCAATATTCTACCATCATAGTCAATTGACAGTTTGGCTGGGACTAGAACACTTTTTATAGAATTTTGAAAGTATTGCTGCATGATGTTAGAAGGTATTTCTTCTGACCTTCTCCAATGTTGCTATAGAGAGGTCTAATACAATGCTCATTTCTGATCTTTTGTCTGTAATCTTTTTGTGCTTTTGCTTTACTTCTCCAAAAGTATTTAAAAGCTTCTTTTTTATTTTATTTTATTTTTTATTTAAAATCTTCTTAGCTCTCAATAGTCTAAAAATATTACAAAGATTTACTTTGTTATAGAGTTCTGTTCATTTGTTGTGTTAAACTGGGTGTGTTCTGTTTTTGGAAATTTTGTGATTTTTACATTTTTTTAAAAAAATAAACATCGTTGAGATAAACTTACAGTGAAGCATGTCCATATCAAGGATATCATTCAGTGTGTTTTGATAAACATACATAGTAATGTAACCTTGACTCCAGATAAAATAAGAGCCAGTTTGTAGTACCAAAATGTTCTCTAACATCTCCTTGTGATAATCCCTCATTTCTTGCCTGGTGACAGGCCACCATTGAATCATGTTTGGTCACTCTAAAGTCTTTATTTACATCTTCAGTTTTCATTCTGATCAAAGGGCATAATCTCTGTCTTAAAAATCATTTTTCTCTGATTCTTATCCCTTCCCATTTCTTCTTCCTTGTCACTACTGAGTGACTGGAAAAGTCTGTGCTAACAGTGTTAATTAGGATATGATGTGCTGCTAAAAACAAGACTAAAGTTGAGAGGAGGAGGCTTCCCAGCCGCCATAGCACCACTCCCAGTGCAGAGGAGGAGGCTTCTGGGCTGCAGTACCACAGCTCCCAGTGCAGGAGAGGTGAGCCACACAAGTGCCAGCAGCACCCCCCACACCTTGAAATTAGAAAACACATAAACAAACCTCAAAACCAGACTTCCATATCACCTACAGCAACCCCAAAGGGAAAAGAGATGGAACACTCTGATACTCAACCACCTGTACTCTCTGAACTGGCAACAAAAGAGGATCTGGAAAAAGTGAAATCAGAAATAATTTCTCAGATAACAGCAGAGATTATGCCCATAGTTGAAGACATAATTAATAAATCTAGAGAGGACACAGATGAAAAAATAGAGGACCTGAGGAACATGATGGAATGCCAACATAGGAAACAAATGGAATCCATAAAACAGATGCAAACAGATTCCAGGAGGTTCAAAATTTCATTGAAAGTTTACACAGCAGAATGAACCAATGCGAGGACAGAATTTCAGGTATACAATATAAGATTGCAATTACAGATCAGGAAAAGAAAAATTTCTTGAAAATATTAAGAGACCATGAGAAATCAATTCAGCAAAGAAGAATCACATAAACACTAATTGGAGTCAACAAAGAAACAGGACAGAGTGCAGACGACCTAAAAAAAAAAAACTGTTCACAGAAGTGATAGCAGATAACTTCAGAAATAGGGGAAAAGAACATGACATAGAGATAAGTGAGGCATATAGGACTCCAACTAGCCTTGATCAAAAAAAGTCTAGACATAGGCGTATAATAGTTAAGATTCCAGAAACCCAACACAAGAACAAAATTCTACAAGCAGTTAGAGAAAAGAAAAAAATCACATACTACAGAAAGCCTATCAGAATCACAGCAGACTTCTCAATGCAAACCCTCAAGGCAAGAAGAGCTTGGAGTGCAGTATTCCAAGCCCTAAAGGAAAACAGCCTGCAACCCAGATTGATGTATCCTGCAAAACTATCTTTCAAAATTGATGGAAAAATGAGATACTTTCATGACAAAGAGCACCTTAGGAACTTCATGTATACCAAATCAGCACTCCAAAAAAATTTAAACAATATCCTAGGAAAAGACAATGAGGATCACAACTCCAAGAAGCCCAGCAGAATGAAGCCATTGGGCACAATGAGAAATTAAATGGAAAGGGGGAAAATCCAACCACAAAAAAAAATCATGACAATGATGAGTCAATCCATATCAGTTATAACCATCAATGTTAATGGTATCAATTCACCAATCAAAAGAAATAGACTGGCAGATTGGGTCAAGAAGCAAGATCCAACACTATGCTGCATACAAGAAACACACTTAATTCAAAAAGAAACTGATAGACTGAAAGTTAAAAGTTAGAAAACAATACTCCATGTGACAGGAACCTCCCCAAAAAACAGGAGTAGCTATGCTCTTTGCAGATCAAGTGGATTTCAAACCAACCCTGATTAAGAGAGACAAAGAAGGACACTACATCCTTGTAAAGGGAACAATCCAAGAGGAAGAGATGACAATCATTAATATCTATGCATCAAACACTAGTGCACCCAACTATATAAAACAAATACTAACAGACATGAAAAAACAAATAAGCACTAATTCAATAGTAGTGTGGGACCTCAATACCCCACTGTCACAAATAGATAAGCAACAAAATACTAGAACTCAAACAAACTCTTCAACAAATGAACTTAACAGATGTATACAGAGCGTTCCACCCAACAAAATCAGAATACACATTCTTTTCAGCTACACATGTGTCGGTCTCCAAAATAGACCACATACTTGCTCACAGAACATGTTTAAGTAAGTGCAAAGGAAATGAAGTTATCCCCTGTATATTATCAGACCATAGTGCAATTAAACTGGAGATCAATTGCAAAAGAAACTGCAAGAATTTCATAAACAAATGAAAATTGAACAACACACTTCTGAATAACCAATGAGTCACAGAGGAAATTGAAGAAATCAGACAGTTCCTTCAATTAAATGGCAATGACAATACAACATATTGGAATCTATGGGACACAGTGAAAGCAGGCTTACAAGGGAAATTCATAGCACTAAATACTCATATTAGGAAAACAGAGCGAGCCTAGTTGAACAACCTGATGCTGAACCTTAAGTTTCTAGAAAAAGAAGAGCAGGACAAACTCAAAGCTCATACAAGGGAGGAAATTATAAAGACCAGAGCAGAAATCAATGCAATGGAGACTGAGACAATGATACAAAAAAATCAATGAAGGGAAGAGTTAGTTCTTCGAAAGAATAAAGAAAATTGATAAACCCTTAGCCAACCTTATCAGGAAAAGGAAAGAAAAGGCCCAAATCCATGCAATTAGAAATGAAAAGGATGAAATTACAATGGACTCAGCAGAAATTCAGAGGATCATCAATACCCTCTTCGAGAACCTATATGCCAATAAGATGGAAAACACATAAGAAATGGACAGATTCCTAGATATGTGTGAATTACCAAAGTTGATCGAAGAAGACCTAAAAATTCTAAACAACCCAATATCAACCAATGAAAATGTAATTAAATCTTACCAAGTAAGAAAAGCCTGGGTCCTGATGGCTTCACTGCCAAATTCTACAAGACATTTAGAGAGGAACTACTGTCACTGCTGTTTAAACTCTTCAATGAAATTGAAAGGGAAGCAATACTTCCAAATTCATTCCTGAAAGCAAACATCACCTTGATCTCCAAAGCAGAGATAGACCCAACCACAAAAGAGAACAATAGGTCAATCTCACTAATGAACGTAGATGCAAAAATCCTTAATGAGATACTGGCAAATAGAATGTAGAAGATCATCAAGAAGCTCATACACCCTGACCAAGTGGGATTCATCACAAGGATGCAGGAATGTCTCAATATACACAAATCAATAAATGTAATACACTATATCAATAGAACCAAGGACAAAAACCATATGATCATCTCAATAGATGCAGAAAAATAATTTGACAAAATCCAACATTCATTTATGATAAAAACCCTACAAAAAATTGGAATAGACAGTCTCTACCTCAATCTAACAAAAGCCATCTATGAAAAACCAACAGCTGATATCATACTAAATGATCAAAAACTGAAATCCTAAAAAAACCAAAAAACCCTGAAATCCTTCACACTAAAATCAGGAACAAGACAAGGATGTCCACTATCTCCATTCTTGTTCAATATAGTTTTGGAAACATTAGCCATGGCAATTAGACAAGAGAAAGAAATAAAAGGAATAAAGATAGGTAATGAAGAAGTCAAATTGTCATTATTTGCAGATGACATGATACTCTATCTAGAAGACCCTAAGAACTCCA